TATTAAGTACAGGATTTCAAAATTGTGTGTGAGTGCCTAATTACTATGATTGATTAAAAAACTTATAGATATGTAAATTAATTAAATTAATGCTACTCAGCAGTAATTACAATAACTATTATCTTTTTGAATAACCATTTTGATATTGACAGATACTTGATAGTTATGATAACATTTTGAAAATTAATTTATTTTGGTCACACTGTACTTAAATCATTTTCCAAACRTTTTTAACTTTCATTTTGTTATATCATTGAATCGGTTTATTCGTATGGAGGTTTTTAATTTTCTCTCTCCTACTTTGTAGTAGTTCTCTGTTCTGGTTCTCTTGTTCTAACATTCTTTATCAATATTTTCATAATAATATTCGTATTWGTATTATCTACAGACTACAGAGTTGTCAGAGTTCAGTAGTTAATAGTTATTACAGGTATTAATTTTTTGTAGACTTTTTTTCAAATTATGTTTTACAACAAACGTAGTTGACCAATGTCAGACGTAGTGTTACGGCTAAAATGCCGTTCGGGAACGTTCCCAATGACAATTCCTTTGAATTGTCCAATATCTAGTTTGAAAGAGCAGGTGTCAGTGCTGAGTGAAATACCAGTGGCTAGCATTAAATTGTTATTTGGCTTTCCGCCCAAGTCCATACAAAAATTAGAAGGTACTGTTGAAGATGCTGGTCTCAAGTCAGGCGATACAATTATAGCTGAGGTTGATTCAACTAGTGCTAGTGCCCAACACCTCAAAGTAGAAACTGAGAGTAATATTCTAAAGCATGTCACAGAACAAGAGGTAGGAGATGAAGTGCCGTTGATTTTGCGTAAAGTTGTACCCGCTGATAATTCTTGTTTGTTCACCAGTATGGGATTTGTATTGGGAGGTAATTTTAATTTAATTTTTTTTAATATTTGTATTTTACTGGAAAAATCTTATAACATTTGAGTCGATGTATGAAATAAAAGCTATTATTTAATTGCTTTAAACCTGTCAAAAATTACATGTATAATTTTAAATAATATTAGTTATTATGTCTATAGTTACTGAAAATAATTTTAAATTTCTGAATTTCTAATGAAGTTAGTTACTAATAAAGGATAAAAGCATAGAATATTATATGTATACATAACAATCATTGTATTTCATATTTGATTATTTTGTTCAATTATGAGAAAAAATTTTCATAAGTTGCAGATATTTTTAGATTTGGTCCAAATGTTTAACAATTATAAAATATTTAATGAAGCGTTTATATTTTTCAGGTAAAATTGATTTGGGTAGTGGCAACTATATGCGTGAGATAATAGCTAATGCAGTAAAAGATAATCAACTAGAATTTAGTGAAGCTGTACTTGGAAAACCAAATGAAGATTATTGTGAATGGATACGGAATCCAAATTCATGGGGTGGTGCTATTGAGGTGTCTATATTGTCTAACTTCTATGGTATAGAAATTGCCGTAATCGATACTCAAAGTGGTTCTATTAGTAAATTTGGTGAAGATAAAGACTATCCTCACCGAGTATTCCTTATTTATGATGGTATTCATTATGACCCTTTATACTTGGAATCGCCGTTTTCTGTAAATAATTATTTTTTTCAATAAATACCTTATATTCTTCAAACTAATTTAATTATATTTGTTTTTAATTGCAGCCTGGAGAAATTCAAACATTATTCCCAACAAATGATGATCGCATGTTAGATGCTGCTCAGATGTTAGCTAATGAAGCTAAATCTAGTAGACAATATACAGATGTAAAACGATTTACACTTAAGTGCTTAGATTGTGGTTGTATTATGATTGGACAAACACAAGCTCAGGAACATGCCAAATTAACTGCTCATAACAATTTTAATGAATACTAATATCCATAACTTAACATGCAAAATTTAAAAGAATTTAGTTGTTTTTGTCATTAAATAAACTTTAGTTTTTACCTTATTAGTTATTACTCACTATATTTTGGTTTGGTAATATTTTTTATGGTACGCGAGGTGAAAAGTGAGCCGTGATTGATGCGCGCCAAGTGGCCGTTTTTCATCAGGGCTAATGTAACATTAACTGACACCATGTAAAATGACCGCTTGGCGCGCGTCGATCGCGGCTCACTTTTYGCCTCGTGTACTATAGTACTAAAGTAATACAATGTTAATAAATTATATTAAAATTAAATGTATTATATCTTATATWCATATATCATGTTGGGGTAGTATAAACATCAATACCCCTAAACACAACTTTTTGGGAGAAAGGTGAAGCAATCAGAATTGATTAAACCTCACTCAGATTTTTTGAAAAACTGTGTATAATTTATTATTGTAAGCTTTTTTTTTCTATAAAATTTAAAAAACATRTATTTTGTTTAATTTTAATTGGCTAAAAATATTTGACAGTGATATAAATGTATGAAGGAAGACTGTCCTCATTTTATGACAAAAAAATGTCAGTACTGCAATCCTCTGAGTATGTCTATTTGGCTTTACCCGAAGCTTTGCCTAGCAAACTTGACAATTTTTATAAAATCTTTTTATATGCAAAAGTATGAAAATATTTAAGCAATTATTAAAATCAATATAAACAATATCAGTACAAGATATTAATTTAAATAATTAACATGATCTAAATTTAAAAAAAAAGTGTATGAACAATAAAATATATTTATTAAAGATAACTGTAAATTTATTTTTCTATAGTTAAATGTTTTGAATTCTGGACGGAATAAAATAAATCGCTGAATAACATAATATAATATTAGGTTTCATTTTTTTTAAATACTTTTCTGGTAATTTCTATTAAATGTATATCATTCCCTTTCATGAGCTCATAAATATCTAGTTCGTTGTTTTGACCCAAGTCTTCAAGTGGTTTATGTGTACAATTAAGTTTCCATTTTGCTGCAAGTTCGTCAATTCCGTATTCTGGGTCTCTTTCATGATATGTTGTCATAAACTTTGCCAAAGGATTACGTTCTAATAAGAAAGATATAGTTGCAATTAAATCCTCAAACATATTAGGTTCGTAAAAGCAATCTGATCCAATAATTAAATCAAACGGTCCAATATTTAAAGTTTCACGGAAAAAGTAGCCCCACTGCAATCCAAGTACTCTTATCTATACATAAAATAATTTTATAAAAATAAGATAATTTATTAAATAGATAGTAAAAATATTTACTTGTTCAGGATACAAGCTATTCATGTAACAACATTTCTGAACATGTTTAATAGTTCCAGGTATAGTAGGATCATCAGTTAACGTAACAATAGCTCCACATTTAGCAGCTACTATACCAGGCAAAGAAGTTCCAGAACCAACTTCTAATATCTTTTTACCAGGCAGTTCAAGTCTATGTTCCCATATTATCCATGCAAGTACAGGTGATGCAGGCCATACATAATAATGATAATCTCCTTCTAGAGCCTTTAATAAAAAAATTATATATATTAGATAGTTATTTGCATTATATTAATGAAATTAATGTTTAGATAACATARGTTTTAGTATAGGTTTTGTTGGTTATTCTTTGAATAAAAAAAAATTATTAAGTACCTGAGGGATGGAGACGAGCAAAGAGTCATACTCATTTACTTGACTAGAGCTGGTAGCTGAATTTAAGCTGTTTACTCTTTTAGTACAAAATGTGAAATTTTTTATACTGTACTGAAGACCTTTATCTCCCTCCATCCAATTTTCTGATATGGTTGAATTATATCCTAGTGCAAATAATGGTTCTGATGTAGTTTTAAACTGCCGTGGTGGGGGTTTAATAGGATTAATGGTCCAATCTAAGCAGTTTGGAGGTACTTGTTCAGTAGGTGGCAGTCTTAAGCATGAAGTCGGTGAGTAAATATATGACGATGGCGGTGTGGCATTTACTCCCATTGTCATATACGTAGGAAAACCTTGAGTATTTGGCCAGGGTGATAGAGACACTGGATATGTAAGTTGTGCAGCAGATGTGGATGGTTGTGCTGCATCCATTTGATAGTGGTAAGGAGGAAACTGGAGTTTTTCATCAGTATTTGTTCGTGGATGGTTTTCATCTTTTGATGTGGATGGTCCAGGCTGACAAAATTGCGGTAAATCTGAATTCATAACGACTAAAATATACTTAAGTTTAAAACATTTTGAAAATTATAAATATTAATAACATTATATGAAATATTTTAATTATTCATTTTGATAGTTGAAATCTTGAAATTGTTAAATAAGTAATAAACTAATAACCGCCAACTAGAATAATGTTTTACAATTTTAAAAACAATATTCTTAAAAATCTCAACTTCTTTATCAGATATTATCAATATGATAAGCATGTGGCGTCTTATCCGTGTCAACAACTTCTGCCAGCCACGATAACTCAATGGCGCAATAAGTACTTTAAAATTGCGTACAARTACAGAATACGATTAAAGATATCTTTAATTGTGATACAGAAAATAAAATATACCAACGGGCAACAAAGCACATATTATTTAAATAATGTTTTCATGGATTATTTAAAAGTTGATTAATTAATTTAACTACTACACAGATATAATTTTCACAAATACAGCCTAAATGTCCTAGCCTGCCGATGGTGTTTTGTTAAAAGGGCGTATAGGTACCACAAAAAATCAAAAAGTGAGTTTTTGATATCAAAATTTTCAGAAAAAATAGTAGTATAATCTGTAATATTGGAGAGATTAAAAATAATAAGGATTATTCTCTATATAGCGGATATAAGAAATACAAACGCCCTAAAGAATTTATATATATTTTTACGGAAAATGTTAAAAGGGTTATCACCAGGATTATAGTGTATAGATTAAATTCAGATTTCAGTGCCAAAGTCSACAGGGGCATATTTAAGAGGGTCCATGAGGTCCTTGCCCCAATCATTCACCGTTTATCACTCCCTTTCCTCACTAATAAGAAATTCTAAATACGCCGATTTTATATACTATATTTAAATACCTACTAAAAATTATAGTTACCTATATATTATATAAAATAGACGAAATACACTAAATCTTTTCATAATTTAAGTACTCTAACAGTTTTAAGACCTAATAATTGATTATGTTTTTTCCTTTAGAAAAAAGAATCCTTGTTAGCGAGGTTATCGAGAATTACACATTGCGCTAATATTAATCAATTAAATCTCAATTTCCGGATTACCAGATTAATTAAAACATATTCTTTATTGTTTTATTGATAGTTGAATTGTACCTATTATCATAGGCGTTCATAGCTCATAGTTTTCTAATTCATTTGTACTGAAGCTTTACGGCTGATGGCAACAGACATCAGCTATACCTACTATAATAGTTAGATGCATTGGCGTAATCTAGGGGGTGCAAAGGGTGCACTTGCACCCTCTGGAATTTTAGAGGGGATGCAAAACTATCATTTTGCACCCCTACATTTTCTATATTTATAATGAATAACTAGTGCCAAAATATTAATATTTATAAAATAATTATAACAACGATAATAGCTGATAATTATTAACATACGTACAAATATATTATCTAAATATCTACAGTCTATAAACATAATTTATGCTGTTGTCATTAGTATGTCAACTCAAGCTACTAATATTTTTAAAGAAATTCAGTGGAAAGTTTGATGAAATGTGGGATAAAGTAAACTGAATTAACAAAAGAAAATAATATCGAACCTGCCCACAATTACTTAGAAAAAAACAAACCACAATAACAATTTGAGGGGGTAGACATCAACCTCAATAATTACGGATCAAAAATTATTACCGTATAAAWAATTWTTTTTCAGTATTGTATATTATTATGAAAGAAATTAAGGATCGGTTTCAGGAAAATGAACTAGAGATATTGAATGGGCTGATGAATATATTTACTAATGAAWATCTTTATGTAAAGTTATTGGACATCGTTTGTAAGACCTATAAGTTTGAYGCGTAGTCATGAACTTCAAATAGAATTAAAAATATTTAACAGAATGTTCAAATCTAAACAAACTAACTCAAATAATAGTATCATTTAAAACAAATTGGATTACATGAAACAAGGTGAAATTAAGGATGGGTTTCCCTCATTGTCTGAAATTCTTAAACTATTTTTGACAATATACCTACGAACACTGCGTCATGCGAACGAAGTTTTTGCTGCTTACGATGGCGCAAAACTTACCTCAGAACAACTATGAGACAAGAAAGTCTGTTTAATATATCTATATTACACATTGAAAGACATAGATCCAGAAGTTTTTATTGACGAATTCAATGCAGCCGCAACTGTACCTACATAGTAGAAGGTTAAGTTTAATTTAGTATGGTATGTAATAAATTAGTACCTATGTATTCAATGTAATAAATCAAAGTGTTGACTAAATAATACAATATTTACTTAGTACCGTATTTTTTTATTAAATTATTATATTTAATTACTGATAATACTAAATTGTGTATACAATTTTGATCGAGGAACTGGAATTGAGTTAAAATATCAGTAAAAAAATTGCAAACGAATTGAGCGAATCTGTCATTTTGAAGACAGTTTGTAACTTTCCCGATWAGTTKTGCACCCCCTGAATTTTAGCAAAATTACTTCTATATGGTTAGATGTTAAGTGAGGATCGAGGATGTATATAACTAAGTTTATATATATWATATATTGTATAACACCCGTATTGTGTTTTACAGGAAAGAGGGCACCGTATATTATATGTGATATGTCACACATAGTATCGGTTTTAATAACAGCTATATATAGTAGRTACGTATGTCAATATAATATTTATCATTCGACATTGTAGACAAATTATAGTGATCCAGTAAATCCATTATTTATTCCAACAATTCGGCTATCGGCATTCATTTGATTTATTTACTGCAGATCACCTAAGCGTGTCCAGAGTCAATTGAACCGTATTTAAATTTCAAGGTTCTGTTTTTAATTATTTGAAGTGAACAATAGTGTYAATAATTCCTGAGCTCTTCCTAATTTAAAAATATATTTTTAGCATAGGTATTTTTTTTATTTCTACAACAAATGATTTATATTCATCAATAATAATTGTCATCAAGCTAGGAAAGTATTATTTAAAAATATTTCGCCAGTCAATCAAATAATTAATTTTATCATTTAATCATATCAAAATAATACTATCAATTATTAAACATTTATATCAAATAATAGGATGTAAAGTAATGAATGATATTAACAACTTTTTAGCTTCTTTTTTTTTAATCAATCCACTTATTGTTTCAGAGTTGGTTTCTACCACTACCTGTAGTAATTTGATTTATTTTTTGGAAAATATTCCTGTGCCTTTCCTCCTTATCTATTGTATTTAGTGTTCCTTCTTTCTTAAATTTCATAACATTTATAAGCGCTTTTTTTCAACCTAATTAATTAATGTTGGTAAATTATAGTAAGTAAT